AAGCATGTGATGTAGGACTAACCCCTCTCTCTTTTTAGATTTTAGATAATCAAAATTTTTAAAAGCGGTTTTCGGATTATTGTTTGGCACTAAATCCCCTACGTCCCTTCAGGACTCAAAATTTAAAAATTTTAAATTTTCCAAAAATTTTCGGAACCCTTTTTTGGAACGGGATTCCTATAGATTTCCTCCTCCCCAACCTAACGTCGAAATCCCCATGCTTCTGCGACACGTATTGACGGAGATATTAATTTCCAAAAGTGGTCGGCCATCTTGGTTCGGCCATTTTGGAAATTTTGAAACCTCCATATCTCTGTCAATATTGGGCGTAGAGAGCAGGGATTTTAGATCATTTCCATCCCAAAATCCCCTCTACACATCCCATAGGGTGAGGTTCGGATTGGAGGGGTTGAACTCAACCCCCCAATTTTGAGATCGCACAGGCAAGACCTCACTCTCCTTCCTAATCAGCTCCAAGCCCCAACTTCGTGCGACGAATAGGGGTAGAGTTATAGTCCTCCAAAGTTTGGGGGTCACTTCACCCCCTTTTTTTGAGAGGCTGTAGCTAGTGCAACTTTCGTCGTAAAAGAACGGGGTTTCCAATACATACAACCCCCTGCCAAGCCCTACCAGACCCACAGGGCAAATTTGCCCTAGCTCAAGGTCACGGGGCAAATCCATCTGACCCCGGAAATAGGTGCGGCAGGACACCCTCTCCCATATACCAAAAAGTCCCAGTTCCACAGGGTTAATAGTTCAGGAGATATTAAGTTAAATTTTAACTGTAAATTCTATCTATTCTGTTTTTAAATCTTATTTATTCTAATTTTATTTTTAATTTTAATTTTGAATTCTCTATTGAATCATACAATTCAAAATCAAAATTTATTTATTCAGTTTAGGCTTTTACAGAGCACTTGTGAAAGTCGAAAACTACGCCATCGGTTCGCAAAACTACGGCGGGAGACCTTGTACTGAGAAGAACCGGCAAGAAACTCAGCAAGGGCTATTTTTTTTCTCCCTGTTTTATTTCACACAGAGAAGTCGTATTGAAAAGTGACTTCATTAGAATATGAAATCACTTTCCATTACAATATTAGAAAGTCAATACAATAAAGTTAAAATATCTAACACCATGCCTTTTTGTCATTTAGATATTCCTTAACGGTATAATACCCTTTACTTTGTAGACAACTTTTAATATGACTTTTAAAATGATTTATTGGCAAATCTAATACTGTCAATGTTAAATATTAATGAAGTGTCATCTGCAAACAACACGATCTCACATAGGTTTTTAACAAAAAATGGCAAATCATTTATATATATTAAAAACAGAAATGGGCCTAAGATAGAACCTTGGGGAACGCCTATTTTTACATGAGACCCCGACGACTTCGCACCGTTTATATCTACCGTTTGTGTTCTGGAACTAAGATACGACAGCATTAGTTTTTGAGCAGCACCTTTAATACCGTAGTAATTCAGTTTAAACGACAGTGTCTGATGCTCAACACAATCGAAGGCTTTGGACAGATCGCAAAAAACTCCAAGAGCGTTTTGCGATCCCTCCCATGCTTTAAATATATGCTTTAGTAGCGCAACACCCGCATCTGTTGTCGAACGACCCTTGGTAAAACCGTATTGCTTAGTATGCAAAAGTTCGTTGGAATTAAAGTAGGATATTAATTGTTCCAGAATAAGTTTTTCAAAAATCTTGCTTAGTGTCGGTAGAATTGAAATGGGTCTATAATTACTAGGATCCTGTTTATTACCAGCTTTAAAAAGAGGAATGACTTTACTAAATTTCATGAGATCGGGGAAAATACCCTCATCAATACAGTGATTGAAAATATCAGCGAGATAGGGAGCAATGACATTAATTATACTCTTAATTATATTCACTGATATACCCCATAAGTCACGAGTGTTTTTTATTTTTATTGATCTGAAGCCTTTAATAACATCTAATGAATCAATATATTTGAACTTAAATAAGGTATCACATTTTGGTACACATTTCCTAAGCATAGCCATTGCTGCCTCTGGCGAAGAATTCAAATTAGAAGTTGTCTCGATCGGTTTATTTATGAAAAAATCATCAAAAATATTGGCGATCAGTTCAGGAGTTTTAATAAGCTCGTTTTTGAAAGTAAGTGCCAATACGTCGTCATGTGGTCTGTTTTTACCAGTTTCACGATTGATAATATTCCAAGTAGTTTTTATTTTATCACTGGAATTTTTAATTTTGTCTCTAATAAAATTTGACTTCGCCAATGCACATACTTTTTTGAATAATTTGGAGTAAGCTTTTACATAATCTACGAATTTTTCAGAATGGTTATACTTTCTAAGATTGTACAACTCATATAGCCTGTTTCTGCTTTTATAAATACCAGTCGTAGCCCAGTCACAAAACTGTAGTTTCTGCGTAGTAATTTTCTTCGTTTTAGAAGGGAAAGCTCGATCGAATTCATTCTTTATGAGATGAAAAAGGTTATTATAAAGTATATCGGGGTCGTCATGTGACCATGACATCTGCACGATTTTCTCATCTATATTTAGTTGAAAATTATTTATACGTTTATTATTAAATGGTCTAACTTCTATTATTTTAGGTTCATTAGGAACCGTTATCTCGTAAGTAACTTTCAAGCCATAATGATCAGATGAAATATTATTAAAAACTAATTTGTTTGCTGGGTTGCGTTCTGAAAAAATATTATCCAAACAAGTAGCTGAATTCGCAGTCACTCTTGTCGGTTCATGAAATTGATTTGTTAAATTAAAACATTTGAACAAAGAGAGAAAACGATCGGATGTTATACTGGGTTTGAGAAGATCTATGTTAAAATCACCACATACAACTAAAAATTTGTTTTTTGAGTCTAACTTTTTAAGCACATCCTCCATCACTAACTCAAAAACACTATAATTACCTTTGGGGGGTCGGTATACACATACTATGATTAAATTACTTAATTCTACACAAGAAAGTTCAATATCTCGTTCTACCGTTAATTCTACGATATCTTTTCGTTCCTTAGATTTTACAATATCACTAACCAATATTAATGATCCACCGCATTTTGCTCCCCGACGTACATATGAACTTTGCATATGAAAATTATTTAAATAAAACGACATTTCACTGAGTTGCAGCCAATGTTCTGTTAAACAAACTATTTGTATATCGTTTGATTGAATAAATAACTCTAATTCTAAGTCTTTGCCGGCCAAACACTGTATATTTTGATGCATTATATTAATGTATTTAGCCTTTGTCTTACTTTTCAGTTTAAAACTGAATTTGTCAAATTAATATTTACATTAGTAGAATTACTAATACAAAAATTATTCTGTGTTATATCATATATAACAGAATCTTGTAAATTAAAAGCTAACAAAGTAGCTATTTCGGTCTTACATGATTTAGTCAGATACATATTATCTTTTGTCAGATTTATTTTTTTAATATACTTATTAATATCAAAAAATAAAATAACGTCACTATGACGAGATATCATATTATATAATGTCAAATTTAATTTATGTATGCGCATGTTTTGTTCCTTATTGTAGTTTTTGACATATGGAAAGCTGCTTATTATCATTTTACAATTTGATTCAGATTGTAATTTTAGTAAGTTATCAATACTTTTTACATGACCCTGTATTGATGATGATGAGCTATCACCACACAAAATAATTAAAGTGGTAGCACTATCTAGTTCATTTTTGCTCAGATTTTTTACTATATTGTTAAATGATCGACCTGGAGAACAAATATTTATGAAGTTTTGTGCTAATTTGTTTTTGACAGCCGAACCAAGACCTTGGCCCAGCTTGTCAGAAAACATTATTGTTTTGCTACTTCTTGAGTCATAAGACAATGCTGGTTTGAAAGGGCATGCATTATATGTTGTACCTATAGGATAAGAGACAGATGAGACAGATGACTGACCGAGATCATGAGAAATTTCATTAATTTTTGGTACTACATTTATAATGGAATGATCAGACAAAGAAGAATGATTTATAGTACTTATTTGTTGATTTTTTAATAATGACTCATATCGCTCTGCATTATAGTTGCATAAATCAACTAACTCTGACGCAGACTTAATGTGCTCATTAATTTGTTTCTGTGCACTTGAATATTTACTTTCCATATTCTCTAGAGATTCATGCAACTTTTCAATCTGAGAATGTAACTGTCTAGTATCTCGGTCATACATCTCCCTACTCTCTGTCAATTTGGAACTATAAATTTCCAGGGAGTCGATGAGACTATTTTTTACCTTCCTAAGAGCAATGTTTTTATAGAAACAGTTGTTTTTCTTAATAAGTTTCTCAGTTTTTTTAATGAACTTGCTGATACGAACATATTTTTTAATCTTCTTAGTACCTTGTGTATGGTGATGTAAAACAACACTATCAGGTCTTATTGCAAACTGGGTAGATGGTGCTCCAGGTGTTGCCATCAGCTCCTCAAACAGACTACGAGTGTTGTGCGATTCTTGTAATTGATTATGCACAAGTTGTGCTTCCTCATACTCTGTAATTTGAGAGTTTGCAATGCTCAGTTCCTGTTCTAGCTCAGTGATGCGCTGAAGGGCTCTCTCATACATCTTGCAATCCTTGTCAAAACTACTTAAGGTGTCACGTAGTTCAACTTGCTGAAGAAGCACTTCTTCATGCTGTGAATGTAGCTGTGCAAGTTCACTTTTCAATAATGTGTTCTTATTTATAATTTTCTTGATCTCTTCTTCACTCTCATCACGTTCTCGAAGAAGCTGACTACATGTGTCCTTACAAAATTTCAGTTCTTCCAATGTTTGTCGCAGCTTTATTTCAGTGTTTTGTGCTGTAGCTTTACGGGTCATCATTTTTAATTGGGAGATTGTTAATTATTCACTTCACTTCACTTTAACTTATTTAATTTATTAATATACTTTTAATTCATTAAAACATAAATCCCATAAACCCCACCACTAAATATGGCACCAAAAATAGCAACAACAAAGAAAGCAGAAAACACAGAAACGTCTGCTCACCACTCGCAAAGAATTGAAGAAAAAATAAGAAGTAAAGAAAAAGAAATGGAAATAAAAGGATGGGGAGAAATGAAGAAACTAAGTATGGAATTATACCACAGTATGAATAAGGCTACAGCAACATCGAGTGTAAAGGGACAAGTCATGGAAGATGCAAAGAAAATGATGAGCAAAATAAATGAATTAAGCGAGAGATTAAGCAAAACGGATGAAGAAGGAGAAATGGACAGAATCCAATACATACAATTACTGCAAAGCTCTGACAAATCCAATTTAACGGATTATATAAAAATAAAGGAAATATGTAGACAACAATATGTTGAGGTAATGGAGGAAAGTCAAAAAATGAGAAATCTAGTGGAAGAAAAAATTATAGACATCCTAACACAGATAGTGGAAGGAAAAAGGGTAGGAGAATTAATAAAGAAGGACCAAACAGCAGTAAAAGGCCATCTAGAAGAAGTAAAACAAAATATAAATCAAATAAAAAGCAAGGAAAATAAGGATAAGGAGGAGCAGAAAGTACAAATGAAGGAAATATGGGAAAATATTCAAAGGATAAACGAAACAATAACGGAAATAAATAAAGAAAAAAAGGAATCAAAAGGCATAGACTATGAAAAGCTAATTAATACTTGCAAGAAAAATGAAAAAGCGAACATAAAATTACAAGAAAAGATTGAAGAAATAGGAAAAATAACAAAGGAAATAAAAGATGACAACAAAAAAGGTAAAGATATAATGGAGGAAATAATAAACACACAAAAGGAAGCCATAAAAGCATCACAATGGGAGGATATGGGAACAAAAAAGAAAGAATTTACATATGCGGAGAAACTGAAAAGTAGAAAAGAGGAACAACCTCGCACCACATACCATTCCATAATAGTAAACTCAACAGATGAGAACAAGACAGGAGAGGAAGTATTTAATGAAATTAGAAAGACGGCTGAAGGAAAGGAGGAGTGGTGCGAGGTCGTCAAAGTAAAAAAGGCCAAGAACAGGAAAGTAATAATTAGCTGTACAAAAGAAGAAGAGGCAAGAAAACTGAAACAAACACTAGAGATAAACAATAAACTTAAAATAGAAAATGCGAAAAACAAAAACCCATTAATAATAATTAAGAACATCAAAGGAGAAAATAAAACAGAGCAGGCAATAGAAGCAGTAAGAAGAAAAATAGAAAGAATGGGGAAAAGAAAGGATCAGCACAAGGAAGAAATAGAAAAAGCTTACGAGAAAAAGACTAGAAATCCGCATATGTCAAGTGTGGTACTCCGAGTAGACCCACAAACATGGCAACAACTGACAGAGGCGGGGAGTGCAACTACGATGGGGATACTCCGTCGTGGAAGATCAGTCCCCGCTTATCCAGTGCTCCTGCTGTTTGGGCTACGGCCACAGCAAACGGTTCTGCAAGGAGCAGCTGGACAGATGTTGCCACTGTGGAGAGGACCACCTGTACGCGGATTGTAAGGCTAAAAACACCCCCCCAAAATGCCGTAATTGTATGAAGGATGAAAACAATAAAGGAAAGATAAGTCATAATGCATTTAACAATATATGTCCAATAAGACAAAGAATGGATAAGTTAGCCAGAACAAAAACATCGTACTGCTAAGGGCAGCCTAATGAAACACGAAATAATGCCAGTGAATCTACAAAGGTCTAAAAATGCCACAGCTGAAATGATACAAGCAGCCTCTGAAAGGAAAGTACAAGTCGCAATGGTACAGGAACCATATACCGGCAAGTGCGGTCCTGCATGGAGTACTGCTCGCACCTTTGGGATGGTTCTGCCAAATACCAGCTTGAAGCGTTGGAGACCCATCGAGAGGCGGGCCAAGAGGCTCATTGGCAGCGACGCTCTTTGGAAAAAGAGAGTCCCAACTTAAGTCTTGAGCATCGCCGCAAAGTCGCTGGTCTATCGGTCTTCTATCGGTTACATTTCGGCGAGTGTGCATCGGAATTACACGACTTAATTCCATCATCCCCTTTTTATTATCGTACAACCAGGGGTACTGGGAAGCGTCACCGCTTTACTGTGGAGATTCCACAAACTCGCACCAAACGATTCGCCTCTACATTCATCGTGCGAACTGCGAAGCTGTGGAATTCGCTACCAGACTCGCTGTTTCCGGGCAAATACAATCTGAGACTCTTCAAGTCAAGAGTGAATCGGTTCCTTCTAGGTAAGCACGCTCCATCTTAGACCACTACATTGCTTACCATCAGGTGATCTCTGGTCAAGTGCTTGCCTATCTAGAATAAAAAAAAAATAAAAAAATACGGGGGTACTGGCCGGCCAATCAGGTACGAAAATATACCAAGCGGAACAAATGGCGGGGAGAGTGAATAAAACTGCAATAATTATCTTCAATAACAACCTAAAAGTGCACTCTCTCCCCGACCAAACTACACCAAATATCACAGTAATAAAAATTAACACCCCAAATTGGCCGGTTATACTTGCGTCATTGTACTTTGAACCGGAAAAAGATATCAAGGAATATATCAATCAATTGGAAAAAATAAGAGAGGAAAACAGAGGCTGCAAAATTATCATGGGTGGCGATGTCAATTCATGGTACGAGTGGTGGGGCAGCGTAAAGAGTGACGATAGAGGAAAGGAATTAGCGGGAGCAATAAATGACATGGGGATGGATATACTTAATACCGGCAAACTTTAACATTCCACACATGGCGAGGGAACACCGAATATAAGAGCCATGTAGATATTACCTTTTGTACCTCGGACTTGCAAGGATATATAGATAACTGGAAAGTGGATGAGGAAGTAACTACTTCGGATCATAATGCGATCCTATTTGAACTGAAATTAGGAAAAGAAAAAACGGAAAACAATAATAAGACAACCAGAAAATACAACACAAAAAAGACCAATTGGAATAAATTTAAAGAGGAAATAAAAGGCAAATTAGAAATAGAGAAAGTTACAAAAGAAGAGAGAAAAAATTACAAATATACAACAATATGAATTAATAATAGAAAAATACAATAACATAATAAGAGAGGTAACAGAAAAGAATACTAAACCTAAAAAACCGTTCAATAAAGTAGGGATCGTATGGTGGAACGAAGAATTAAAGGAATTAAGGAAAGAAAAGAATAGAAAGAGAAAACAAATAAAAAACTCATCTAGCACCAGGAAAGCATACACAATTCAACAGTTCCAAATAGCCAAGGAGAGGTACACAAAGGAAATGGATAAAGCAAGAACGGAATGTTGGAAGGAATTCTGGGGAAAGCAAACCAGAGAAACCGTGTGGGAGGGGATCTACAGAGTTAAAGCAAAATCTAAAAAGAACGGCTAAATCAGTTGATGATTAAAGACGGAAAAACCTGTGATCCGAAAAAATTATAGCGGAGTGCTTCTACCCGGCGGATTCCGAAGACGGAGAAAATGATGACCATAAAGAGGTTAGAATCAGGGCGGCCAAAGCAATGGAGGGGAGTAACAATGATAGTTACGACCCCCCCTTTGTAGAAGCTGAACTGATTCATGCCTCGGAATCATTTAATCCGAAAAAGGCGCCGGGTGGAGACGGATTCACCGCTGATATATGTACAGCAACAATAAGAGCCGATGTCGCCATGGCCCTTGCCATTTTCAACAAAGAGCTACAATTGATTCACTTCCCTTCCCCATGGAAAATTGCCACGGTAATAACCTTAAGAAAGCCTGGGAAAAGTAACTACAACCAACCGAAATCCTATAGACCCATAGGCCTACTACCGGTACTGGGGAAAATTTACGAGAAAATGATGGTTAAAAGACTAAAGTGGCATATTTTGCCTAAAATAAACCCAAGGCAATACGGGTTCATGCCGCAGAGGAGTACCAAGGCATCCCTCTATGACATGATCCAGCGTGTCAGGAGCAATCTGGAAGGAAAGGAGATTGTTGCCCTGATATCGCTGGACATAGAGGGAGCATTCGACAATGCTTGGTGGCCCAAAATGCTTTGTCAATTACATAAACTAAATTGCCCTATAAATTTGCGAAGGCTTGTCGCCAGTTATTTGAGTGATAGATCGGTCTCGGTGGGATATGCGGGAGAGGAAATTAAAAGGAACACTAACAAAGGATGCGTGCAAGGTTCCATCGGCGGACCATTGTTTTGGAATATATTACTGGATCCTCTCCTAACTATCCTCACGGAGAACGGAGTCTACTGCCAAGCCTTCGCAGATGACGTAATATTAATAATATCAGCCAAAACTTCTAATGAGGTAGAGACAATATCGAATAAAGCATTAGAAAAAGTAAGAAACTGGGTTATAGCCAATAAACTCAATTTTGCACCCCACAAAACTAAGGCACTAATTATTACCAAAAAACTAAAATATGACTTGTCCCAATTAACAATGGGGGGTATTAAAATAGATTTGGAGGAGGAAATAAAAATATTAGGAGTTATAGTAGACAGGAAACTAACGTTTAATGTACATATTGGCTTCATATGCCGAAAAGGAATTAATATTTATAAGGGTCTAACAACTTCAGCCAGGTTAACATGGGGTCTTAACCAAGAGATAAAAGGAACAATATATGTAGCGGTAATTGAACCCACCATACTATATTCAGCCAGTGTATGGGGCAAAGAAGCAGGGAAAATTAGGAGTAGGAAAGCGCTTAACGTCTTACAAAGGGGGTTCGCACAAAAGATTGCTAAAACATATAGGACTGTTTCCCTAAATTCTGCGTTAATATTGTCTGGTCTGCTTCCGCTGGATCTTCGGATCCAAGAAGCAGCCCAGCTTCATGAGGCAAAGCGAGGGAAACCCCAGACAATATAAAGAGGCAGAAAAATAGAGGAAAGGGTATCCCTGTTAGGATCGAACCACCCCGGCAGCCAAAAAATGATAGAATACGAATGCTTGGAAGGCGCTGAAGAGAAGGGCAAACTAGCAGAAGGTCTTGTGAAGATCTTTACAGATGGCAGCAAACTCGAGGGAAAAGTTGGTGCAGCCCTGACCTGTTGGAAAGGGGCTGTTGAGATCGCTTCCCGGAAGTTTAAGCTGAAGCCATACTGTACAGTCTTCCAAGCCGAGCTGTATGCCATCCTCCAAGCGACAGAGTGTGTAATGGGTAAAGAATGGAAGGAGGTCGCGGTACTCAGCGATTCGATATCCGCCCTACAGTCGCTGCAAGATCCAGACTCCACGCATCCAATCACGAAGGCAATTCAAGGCAACCTGGTACAACTTAGGGAACTAGACCGCAAGGTCTCCCTATTTTGGATCAGGGCCCATATCGGCGTGATTGGAAACGAGAGAGCGGACGAGCTGGCGAAGGGGGCGGCTCTCGGATTAAAATGCAAGTCACATTATGACGGCTGTCCTGTCTCTTTTGTCAAAAGGCATTTACGCAATTTGACAAAAGTAGAATGGGACAGACGCTATAAAAGCGAAAGTACCGCGGCCACGACGAAGGCCTTTTTCCCTAGTGGAGAATTGGCCTTCGGCGTCGTACGTAAGACAACGATTGACAGATGGGCTGCACAACTTCTAACGGTGCATGGAGGGTTTAAGTCCTACCTCCATGAATTTAAATGCAGGGATACCCCATACTGTGAGTGCGACCCCCAAGCAGAGCAGGACGTATTTCATATACTGTTAGAATGCCCAATACTTGGCGCATTAAGGCACACTTTACAGAACAGCATCAATACACACCTTAGTAGGCCAAACCTAGATAAGATAATTGCAAATACAGAAGAAAGAGAGGAATTCTTAAAGTATGCTTGTAAAATATTGCCAAAAGAAATAAGGATTGATAAGGAATAATAAGTAAACATAACACAGCAGAATAATCTGCGATATTAAAATAGAGTAAGTAACCTGTAAAAATCAAATATGTAACACAAATATAAATGTTATAAGATAAGTAAATATGAATGTAAATAGAAAATAAGAAAATATATATGTAAAAGGAAAACAAAACAATAGAAATTAAAAAAAAATGTAACTAAAAATTAGAAATTAAGAAAGAATGTAACTAAAAATTAGAAATTGAGAAAGAATGTACCTAAAAATTAGAAAAATGTAATAGAATAAGAAAACTATGTAGTAGATAATAAGAAAGTAATTAAAAGAGGGAAAAAGAGCATTCCCCTAGACAACAGACTAAACTAGGTCTGTATAAAAGAAAAAGATAAAAAAACAAGCATAAAAATACAAAAGAAAATAAGATAGCCTGCTCAAAAGTGGGGAACCTGCATTTAAAAAAAAAAAAACCCTCTCTCTTTGGCCACCGAGCAATGGCGAGAACAGTAGCAGTACTTAGCACCACTGACCGAGAGGCCGTTTGGAGGGAGAAGGAGTTGCACGGTAGGTTCTACAAGGCGCTACACGAGCGTCACGTGGATCCGAGAGCCTCCGTGCATTGGCTGCGCTTCGGGGACCTCTTTGGGAAAACCGAAGGTTTTGTCTGTGCAATACAGGACCAGGTCATTATGACCCGAAACTACCGGAAGTATATCCTGAAGGATGGGACAGAGGACGTTTGTAGAGCCTGTCACCAGCCCGGTGAGTCACTCAGGCATATTACTTCCGGTTGTCCTGTACTGGCTAATACCGAGTATTTGCACAGACATGACCAAGCAGCCAAAATACTCCATCTCGAGCTAGCCTTCAAATACGGCCTCATAGGCGAAAAGGTGCCGTAC